CAGGGCAGTGTGTGTGTGTGTGTGTGTGTGTGTGTGTGTGTGTGTGTGTGTGTGATGATTCATAAAAGCAGCAGGGGCTGAGCGTGAAGCCGGGCTCAGATCCTCGGCGTGTGACAGACGGGCTTCACCGGTCGGAGGGCTGACGTTCTTATGGGGTGGCTTCAGGTTAAGGAGCCGCTGCACCTGCTGCTCCAGCAGATTAACCTGGAGGGACCGGGACAGCCCCCGCCCCGGGGGGGTGTGTGTGTGTGTGTGTGTTTGGGGTGAAACCAGTGTCTCTGTGGTTCAGGCCAGATTCTCCTTCTGCTTTGCTTTAATAATTAGCCTGTTGGATTCTGTCGCCATGGTTACGGCTGCTTCTCTGTTCTGGTTCCATCACATTTTAGAGGAACGGATTTATTTTAGTTTTGCCTGAAAGTCCCAATAAAGGAGCTGAGGAGCAAACGGAGCCTGGAACTGCTGTCGGGATGAAGAGGAAGACTGCAGGGTGTGTGTGTGTGTGTGTGCGCGAGCAGAACCAGCGCTGAAGCCCAACGGCCTGGATCTCTCTTCTCTGGGTCGAACTGTGAATTTAAATGAGGAAGCCTTTGAGATGAAGAGCTGCAGAAAGAAGCCCAGAACCCAGAGTTCTGTGGTTCTGTTTGACCCAAAGCAGAGCTGATGACAGCATGGTGACTGATGACACCTGGAGCTGTGGGAACCGGGCCGAGTCCAGAACTGCATGTTAAACACAAGCAGCAGCGGGTAGAAGAGGTCGGGTTGATCAGAACCAACAGAACATTCTGGTCTGACACCTTCAGGCCCAGATCTCAGGAGTCCATTACTCAAGTTAAACCTGCTTCTCTGCAGTCACAGTTGTCCTGACGTTGACCTTTGACCCGTTAAAACTTCCAGTTTGACAGAAGGTTGTTGAAGCAGAGCTGCTGACTCGCTGATCAGAACCTGCTTTCATCTTCGGACCTTCTTTCACGTGTTCCCCGTTTGGAGCTCCGGCACCCTCCGGATCACAGCGGAATGTCTGATGGGACTTCCGGGATCAGGTTATTGTCTGATTCAGATTCTCCTGCAGGAGCAGGAAGACCACAGCGGCCGTTGCACAGGCGCGGCCCGGCCCAGATCTGATGAAGCATTTGTGGTTCTGTGTCTGAGCTGCGTTGTTGAAACCTAACCCCCCAACAATGGGCCGGCTCCGGTTCCTGCTGGACTGGAGGTTATAAATCATCCTGGGGAGTTGTCCGTGTGTCGAAAGCTTGTTTACGCTCTGGAATCTCTCTCACACACACACACACACACACACACACACACACACACACACACACACACACTGTCTATGTTCTCGGTGGGGGAGGAGCCTGGACATTAGGCAGGACGGTGACCTTTAACCTGGGAACAGCTTGGGGTCCCGCTGGTGTAGCTGACATGGAGGGACGTGTGACCTGCTCTGCTGCTTTAGTGGCAGTAACCAGACGATGACTCGGCTCATAGCTTCATGATCTTCATTCCTATCACACCAAACATTATTCATGCAACGCTCCTCCTAAGCAGGGGAGCTGTGGCGTACCACAGGGCTGAGCGCTCAGTCCCCATCAGTTCTTTATTTAGGTTTCCTCTCCGTTCGTTTGGGATTTACATTCCAGCAACGAGAGCCAGCCTCACGCCCCACAGAGCCCAGCTGCCTGGTGAATCTCTCAGCTCCCCTTTTCTGAATGCTAACTGCTAACATGCTAGCATAACTCGGTGAGAATGTGAGCAACGACATCTCCTGTCTATTGTCGTAAACACAGAAAAGTCTTCTCAGGAGGTCAGAGGTCTCCGTTACAACGCGACCCGGCTCATCTCAGATTGATAATCTAGAGAACGCTGATGTTTTAGAACGTTGTTGTTTCTCAGCTGAGAGCTCGGGGTGTTAGGTTGTTCTGGTCCCGTTTCCTCCTCCATCTGTGGCGTCTACAGACCTACATCATAGATCTGGTTCATACGTTGTTCTGCAGCATGCTAGCAGGACAGAGGTCCACAGCAGTTGTCACTCGTTTCATATTTTATGGATTATTTAATTAAACAATAATTCCAGGCTTAGGGAAACTAAACGATTTAGGAACAAGTTTCCCAGGATGTGACGTAGTTCTGATAACAGCTGAAAAGCAGGAGGGTAGAGGACAGCGCCACCTGCTGACCGGTTCACATCCCACCCAGATGATGGAAATATTCTGATTTCTAGTTAGTTATGTAGCAGGGGTGCCCATCCCTGGTCCTGGAGGGCCACTCGAGCTGCAGGGAGAAAACTAAAACATGGACAGAGGTCCTTTCTGGACCAGGATTGGGTGCCCAGATGCTGAAACATTTCTAAAGCTGTGCTGTAGTCGTGCGGTTGTGGTGGTGGACGGGGACGTCTCTGCTTAAACGTGAGTTAGTAGCTGCAGACGATGAGTTGTTGCTTGATGACCTGCTAACGGGAGCTCGTTCTGATCATAACGAGTCTCCATGAGGGTTAGGGCTGCAGCGATCCGCGCTGGTTTTGTTCTGGCCGGCTGAAGCAGAAGCTTTGATAATGGCGATCCAGTTTGGACTGAGAAGAAGCCAACCTGTTTGACCTCCGACCCCGCTGCTGATAATCATCAGCAGGAACAGGTTGCTGCAGCAATTAGACTGATCCCAAACACATTCTCAGGCAGACAGGATCATGTTTGGTCATCACCATTGTTCTTCCACCTGGGAGGCGGGGCCACACCAGGACAGGTTCACAATCACAATCTATGTGTGATGCCTTCTTTCCTCTGGTCTTCTTGTGTTCCCCCCCCCCCCCCCCCCCCCCCGTCTACACACACACACACACACTGTTTAGAGATAATGTTCAGGTGTAATCTGAGTAAAATCCTGTTTATCTCCTGTAACTGTAGATGTGTGTGTGTGTGTGTGTGTGTGTGTGTGTGTGTGTGTGTGTGTGTGTGTGTGTGTGTGTCCTACTTACGGCTGATATAGTGAACACATGAACAATGTGCTCATAGTAATGCTGATAATTAGTCCTGAGTCGTGCTGCTGAGGCCTGATTTAATGACTCAGCAGAGAGGGGGCGGAGTCAGCAGAGAGGGGGCGGAGTCAGCCATCCCCAGGGTTCTGAGGTCCGACCCAAACACCCTGCAGACTCGGGACCCTGAAAAGGTCCAAACTGAGAAAAGGTTTCTACCTTTGACCTTATCCGAGTCTGGTCCAGAACAAGGAACCAGATGATGATGATGATGATGATGATGTCATCCTTTGTTCTTTTATTTTCGGCTCCTCTGGTTCTGTTCTGTCTGCATCATTTCTAATATTAACACTCGCTGTGACCTCAAAGTCCTCTGCTGGTGTTCTGTGTCTGTGTGACCTTTCACCTAGTAACATTCCCCACGTGCACGACCCTCACGTGCACAGCTCCCAGGCTCATTCATGTCAGTGATCAGCCTCTGAGCTCCCAGCTGTCCTCCAGCAACCAGCCATCATCAGAACCCCCAACTGTTGGTTCTGATCCGTCTCTCAGGAGTTGTAGTGATAACGATGCATTCACTGACCCAACATAAAATCAGAATTAGGCCCTTCTGTTACAAGAGCCCAAACCGTTAAACCGTCCCAGCTCTGAGGGTCAGCGAACGCACCATGGGTGCAACGGGGTCAGAGGTGATTGTGAGATCAAACAGAACCACCATGAGCCTCATCTCTGTTTGAACCGGTTTGATCCAGTTGAGCTTTCAGAGTTATCAAAAATATTAGCTTAATCTAAACCTTCATCTTGCATTTTGGATCCAATCCCAACCAAATTATTTAAAGAAGCATTTCCTTTGGTTACTGCCCCCATTCTAGATATAATCCATCTATCCTTAGTAAATGGGTATGTACCACAGGATTTTAAGGTTGCTGTAATCAAACCTTCACTTAAGAAGCCTTCTCTGGATCCAGATGACCCAATGAATTATAGACCAATATCTAACCTTCCATTTTTATCCAAAGTCCTGGAGAAAATAGTGGCCATCCAAGTATGTCAGCATTTAAACACTAATGCTCTGTTTGAGGAATTTCAGTCTGGTTTTAGAGAGTATCACAGCACTGAAACTGCATTAGTGAGAGTTACAAATGATATTCTCATGGCCTCAGATAAGAATCTTGTGTCTGTTCTAGTCTTGTTAGATCTCAGTGCTGCCTTTGACACAGTTGATCACAATGTTCTTTTAGAAAGACTTGAACATGTTGTAGGGATCAAAGGAGCAGCGTTAGGCTGGTTTAAATCCTACCTGTCTGACAGATTTCATTTTGTAAATGTACATGACAAATCTTCTCCATACTCCAGGGTTACTTGAGGAGTACCACAGGGTTCAGTGCTTGGACCAATTCTTTTTACTATATATATGCTCCCAGTTGGTAAAATCATTAGACAGCATGGGATAAACTTCCACTGTTATGCTGACGATACTCAGTTATATTTATCCATTAACCCTGATGAACCTAATCGGTTGGGTAGATTACAGGCTTGTCTTGAGGACATAAAACATTGGATGACTCTAAACTTTTTGCTTTTAAATCAAGACAAGACAGAAGTTCTCATCTTTGGACCAGAAATCCAGAAAAGGAAATT